ACTCTAATTATTTTTCTAAAATAAAAGTATCCTAAGGTACTCCTGCTATCTTCATGTTACTATATATATACTTTCATATGCATTTACTAAAAAGCAGTTATTTTGAAATTACAAACGAACACTTCAGTTTTATTTATTTGTATATTTGTGTGATTACAAACGCGGAGCAATGAAATCTATTTTTAGCCGTGGATTTGTAAAAGTATGATAAATTTTCTTAATTATTACCAAAGACGTATTAAAAAAACATCTTAGATTATTATACAGTAATTTTTTCATAAATATATAGAGATTCTTTTTAAATTTCAAACTCACCCATAAGCGCGGATGTCTAACTAGCCTAGCCTAGAAAAAATAACGCCATATTTAGTAGTTTAGTAAGTCTGTCTGCTTCTCTATCTCCGTTCTAGTTTGCGTGCGTTGCGAGACGTGTGTATGAAATTTCCGTATTCTCGGTCATTCTGTTGTTACCTACTGTTCTTATTTTGAAATTCCAATTCCCAATTTATTTTAAATTCAGTTTCGTATATTTAAGTGATAACAAGAAATATTTTGTTTTTTAATTTGAGAATGAAGTCATTTTATATCAGTCCGTATTACTTGATATTTGAGAGGATTTAGCATTACGCTTGAATTTACGATTACCGTCTAAATGCTACCGTCTAAATACTTGTCTGGACAATTTTAGGTTACAGTTTTTTTTAAAACGTTACCCCCACACTAGGATTTTCTCCTGTATCGTGGAGGGAGTTTACAAACACAAATTGCACAAGGACAAACATCCAGACCCGGAACAATTATTTGTAGGTCATACAAATACTTGTTCCGTGCAGGATTCGAACCCGCGGCTCGCAGCGTAGCAACTCATTGCTAAGCCACTGCGCCATGGAGCCGTCTTGTTGACAGGTTTGGCATAGTTTCAATGTCTCCCCCGCTGAGGCTGGTAGTCGATTTGTAAGTGAACGTTGAGTGAGACCTTTAGACGTCAGGTGATCTAGCTGCTGTATGACGATGCGGTGAGAATGTACCCACGTGTAAGTTAACGCACAAAGTGTTGGGTTTAATGGTATTAGAATGAATCCAAAATCCATAATAGTCTAGAAAGAGGCTATTGAGGAGGGTAGGAAGAGGTCAGATCTCACTTGAAAACAACGACGCCAAGGCGTTCGTTGCGACCATCCTCTTGTCTCAACGTTTAGTATGGTAGTGCCGAGGAGTACGATGACTCAGAAGTGGTCACGAGACATCGTGATAGCATTGCAATGATGCTGGTGATATTAAAAGCTACCGCCGGGGTAAAGGAAAGATGGCTGTCCCGGTTAATAACCCCGGACCGACGTAGTTGACGGGGCCCTACGTGTACTGCCATGGTAGCTGGAAGAAGTATGGCATAAACTTTTTTTTATCTCCGCAGAGGAAGATATCCACCTAAAAAGGTATAATGCTGGTAGTGACAGTAGCAGTAAGCAAGTGTGTTAACTAGAAAGGGAAACTACTTGACTATATGTACACATAACATTTCAATTTTGCATGAGGAAGATTAGCAAATTAATTTTCTCACTCTTAATGTAATGAATGTTCTCAAAATATAGCATTAATTTATTTTAATCCCTTTTATTAACTTTGTAAAGTACTGTACTTTTAACCAACAAAATAAAGTAGCATGAGTATCGTAGACATGTTTTAATGAAACATGCCTGTAAATTAGTTGCTAAACCTTATTAAATATCAGAATCATGGACATATTTTGATGAAAGACGCCAGTAAAGTAGTTGTTAAGCCTTATTAAATAGCGTGTTTGATTATTTATGAGATTTAGCATTCTGGTGCAGCGGTGCGTAGTTTCGGAAGGTTTTAAAATTTAAACTTTTTGACTTATCGAAAGAAATTTTTAACAATTAGATTTTCAGAATAATTAAATCGCATAATATTTGAAGTCGCTCATGAAAAACAATTTGAATCGTTGTTTCTGGGTTGTGCATTCCACACATTTATAGAAGTGCGGGTCCATCGTTTTGCGTATATTACATTAGATTCCTACACGTGATAACACTGACATGTTATATCTTAATAATCATTGCACTAATGTTTGAATTCATAATGCAATAATATACTTCGTTGAAACATCTTTTTTTTAATACAGAGTTAAGTAATTGATTTTATTCCAATCGTAGAAATCGCATTTAAATACGACCTTAAGGGACATTTTGAACACAAAGAGTGTTTAATTTTGGACAGGTATCCATTATTCATGTCTACGACTTCAATAAATGTCTACTGTCTGAGTAAAAAAATGACATCGACTACTAGCTTGAATAATTTCACCCTCAGTTCAGTTTAATATTCAAAGGATCTTTTAAATTATTTCTACCGTATGAATTGTTTGCGATTTTACAGAATAAGAATTACAAAAGAGTGTTGTGTATCCTTCAGAACCTAGAAGAACCGAAAACAAACAAAATTTTCAAAAACAAAGACAAAAAAAAATTAATGTTTTTATTTGTATTCTGCTGTTTCTATCTAAATCTATCTAAATCCCGATAGTAAAATATATAATACTAGCGATCTGCCACGACTTCACACGGGTGATTTCTGGATCTCAACAACAGCGCCACCTTCCGGGTACAATTGTAAATCTAAGCCATCCAAGAAACCCACTCAAACACACGCAAAAAAATTCATCAAAATCAGTCGAGCCATTTTCGAGTTTTATCCAGACTAGAAAGCCATTGTATGTAGAGGTTATGTACTAATATCATAAAGTTTTCCTATTAGCGAAGATTTTCAATTGTATTCCCTATTTTAACGACGACGTCGATATTGCGTTGTTGTTGTGTCGGTATGATTGCGTTCATTTCGTTTCAATGACAAAATAGATAAAAACTACGTAAAGTTCATCTTAGTTCAAAAATGTTCTTCTTAAAAATACAAATTATTTTGAAAACACCATTCAAATCTTTTCTCCATATTAATTTTATGTGGTGGTAGCGCAAGAACCAACCATGTGTTTCTGATAATATTTTGTTTTTAGAGATAATAAGGTTGTATATTGCTATAAAATTCCATGTCTACTAGAAAGTCGCTCAATATCTTAAATAAGCTAAAACTAACATAGCCATATAGGTGAATGACTATACTTTTTACAGTAAACGCTACAAGGTCTCTCATAATGCTGTCGAAAACTTTTCAGTTGTCTTAACACATATCAGTTCTCCCTATTTCAAAAATATCTATGTATAACAGGCAACACTTTTAACTATGTGTTTGTAATTAAAAGGTTAAGGAAATAAATTAAAGTTTTTTTTTTTATAACTGGCCATTTGTTTACTCATTTTTTTGCCGCCAATGAAGAAATACTCGGATCGGCGACGGTATCAGAGTCAAAGGTGCGAGACGTGCGGTGCTACGATTGGGAATCCGCCTGTCCAGCGTCTCGATTAAGACAAATCCTCCCTACAACAGGAAAAGCTCACTAGTTGATTTCATAAGCAGTGGTCGTTTAAGAAGTAATAAAGAAAAAGACGGAGACTCTCACTAAAATATATATTTATTTATTTTGTTTTTATTTTATAGAATTAGGGTGACAAACGAGCACACAGTCCACCTGCTGGTAAGGGGATGCTGTAGCCTATAGACATACATTTTCCTCGATTAAGTATCAAAATGCAAATGCGTTGTCACACCTGAGAACTAAGAGGATTTTCAGTAAAAAGAGTCACTGGTTCTCTACTCTAACAAAGCAGTATTAAGCTGCTATTTTATGCTGGTATTCTTTTAATACGTGGTTCGTCTTCGGTCGAGACAATCCGTTTGTGCTACAACTATATAATTTAATTAGAATGATTTCTGAATAAGTACATGGGTTGCTAATAATAACGAATCTTTTATCTAAAATGCAAACATAATTGCTGATTCAATACTGTATGCAAGTAGGAGTGGCGTATATAGCCTGTAACTTTACTTTTTAAATAGAAGTTATTATAATTATAATGAAGGAAAAGCAGTTTTTTTTTTAATCTGGTTGCCTGCGTTTATATGGCAGCAGTAGACAGAAAAATTCTTTCAATGATTCTCTTGACTGTGACGACTAATTGGACGTAGTTATACAAAAACATTCCAACCTACAAGTCATTCAAAAATGAGTTAAATATACAGATCTACTTATTTTGACATCTTCGCGAAGATGTCAAAATAAGTAGATCTGTATATTTAACTCATTTATGATTGTCACTCCTATGACTGACTTGACATTGGCAGCATTCTTTTAATAGAAGCCAAAAAGTAAAGAAAAAGAAGAACTCATTTTTGAATGACTTGTGGGTTGGAATATTTTATAAAACTACGTCCAATTTATCTCTGAATTCGTCATAAGCGTATATTACCTAACAATAGTAGACTAAAGGCATGGCAGTGTACCTTTACAGTGCATAGATAGTGTATATTGAAAAGTGTCGATGTAGCGGCCTCACAACAACTTCTCTTCTATCTGTTTCGTTTCCCGCCTCCGAGACAATTCAACTTGACAACATGGACTCTACAACAAAAGGGGCCTCGCTCTATTTAGTTCTGTTCTAACCGTTACGAGAATAATAGCTATGTATATTGTTTTCTATCGCAATTTCGGTCAGTGAGTCTACCTCAATTCGTTTAAGTTAAAAGAACATAAACGAAAGTCAGTAAATAGCCTGAACTATAAATGATTTCACACCTGCATATTTTCAGCTGTCGTTGAAAGTAGCAAATGTTACAAGTGTAAACTTTGCTTAAAGTGAGGGACTGAAAAGAATTCCAAACATCTTTTAACTGTACAAATACTAAATCGACATCGTCTATTTAAGTTCTGATGTGGGAGTACGCCTGTAAGTATTATTTGTGTGATCGGGGACGGTTGTAAACATCAGGCCGGCAGCGCGGCGTCACGTCGGTACGGCGTCGTGTTAACCACGCGGGGAGGGATTCGCGTCACTCGAGCGGCCGCCGCCGCGCGCTTCGCTCGCAACATGTCGGTTCGCGTAGGTCATCGCGATCGCGATCGCTTTTCGAGACATTCTTCCCGCGCTTCTGCCGATCTCGCTTTTCCAAGTAGTTCAAGTCGAGATCACTCATTCCGCTCGGTACATTCGGGTCGCGTGCCGAGAGTTTCTAGCGATGACTTAATGGTACCTGTGCGCACTTTGCGCTCATCGTCGTGTCGTGTGGCTTCAGGTGCGCCTCACCGCCTCCGGCGCCATCACTCTTCTGCCGCCGATTGTGAACGAGCTCGACGTTCTCGGCGTCATACACTAGAACTCCCTAATAGTCGCGGTCCAAGTGTTCGCAGCCGCTCTCCTGAACCGCCGCCTCTACCTCCGGAGCCTGAAATTCCGCCGGAAGACGCTGGAAAAGAAGCACGGAGGCGTCGAGTTGTTGCAGCCGTGGCAGCGTCATTCTTCGCACTCGCGCTGGCGTCAGTGCTCGTGGTGGTGGTTACGCTGACTCACAGCTCGGTTCTCCGCGCTCACAATCAAACAGCCAAGTACTACACGTTCTCCGTGCCGCCGCACCATCCTCTCAGTGAGCCCCGTTCATGTTGCCCCACCGTCGCCCCTCCCGCTTCGCATGCGACTGTCTCCGACCCTGAGTGTCAGGGGCTGCGAACGTCGTCGTGCTTACGCCCGCACCGTCCAGTCTGCTACTCACCGTCAACATTAGCGGTACATATCGTGCAGTACCTATACACACATTACGATAAAATTAACCGGGGACTGAAACCACAAATGCCGAGCGATCTTCTCAAAGAAACAAAATAAACAAAAATTCATGAATCCTCATTTAAAATGGAAAACAAACATATTCTTTCGAAGACTCAAAGGGAGCAGAGAAAGAAGTGAAATAAGGGGATCGCTAAGCCTTTGTCAAATTAAGTCCCTGTGCACAGGGACAACACATGCTACGCACGTTCGCAACCCCCTTATCTGCATGAGTTGTTAGTTCATAATAGATGTCACGTGTTTAAATGTATTAATAATACCAATGAAATGCATACGTACAAGTTATAACGAATAACTATAGAACAGAACTATGGACTATTTTCGGAAGAGGTTTTGTTTTGGCATATTATAGGTAATTATAATAAATTTTGTAGTATAACCTCAGTAATAATAATCACAAGAGCGGGCTTCAGGATTTCACCATTTTAAAAACATTTGGAAATAATACAAACGTCCATGTTACACCTATTCCGATAATTGTTGGTAACACTAATATGCTCGAAACGCGTGTGTATTTGGGTCAAAATGTTGTTCCGATTGCGTAAGTCCAACTTCGACCAAGAGATCAACCGACCAATCCAACTTGGCTGGGTTGAGTTCGGAAAACTGCAATAAATCTTCATGTCTGATATTCACCAGAATCTTAAGATGAAAATATACAACCAGTAACATACACTGACACATGATGACTTACGGAACTGAAACTTGGTCCATCACTGATGGCCGTATGAGGTAGCTCACAGTCCTTAAGCCTGCGATGGAAAGAGCTATGCTCGGAAATTCTTTCCGGGTAAACCTCGAATGAGGAGCCTCGTACTGGCAAATGCAGTGTTGAGTGACCCCCCACTAGATGGACTGACGAGCTGATGAAAAACGTAGGCAGTTGGTTGATGCAGGTGGCTCAGGACCGTACTTTATGGAAATATATGGGGGACGCTTATGTTCAACAGTGGAGTTGCGATGTGCTCTAGTAATAGCAGATAGACAAAAGTAATAATTTTTTGAAAATAGAATTGCCTTTTAACATATGTATGTAATGTAATGCAAGAGTTAGGTTTAAATTTAAAAATTTAAATTTCTTATAGAATTTTATGTGTTATATTCTAATCACATAAAATTCTATAACAAAATTTAGGTTAGGAATGTTAACCTAACTCTTACATTACATACATTAAAAATACTCGTTTGACATAATATGACGTACATGTAGACTTAGCTTCATTTGAAGTTAAACATTTTTATATTTTTTATTATACACCAGCTTTTTGATAAATACTTCATTAGGCGTCATTCAAATAGATTATATATTAGTGTTTACTTTATTATTGTATCTTTTAATTTTGTAATATTTTTATTTAAGGTACTCTACCAAATATATAAGAGTTCACTGCTTAACATAGCCCTTCCTCACTATCACCCTATTTTGCTATAGTTACCACGCTAGTCAAGTGGGTTGGCACGCGCAGTTCCTTTTTAATTTTTTATCAGGATGATACTGCGGCCTATCTCTTGTTTCAGTTTCCCTCTGTTACATCTTACGACACCCACGGATGATTTGTAATTGCGTATGTATTTTCGCCGTTACTTTAGAGCAACTTTAAGCAATTTCAAGCCCGTAAAGCCTGCAATCTGCAGTGGTCGCGATAAGAAGAACCAAGGTGTCTGAATTTATAATAGGAATTTATTAATTTATTCTGTTCCACACTGTAAACGTAAATGGTATAGAATGGTGAATGTGTCTGACAATCATATTACGAGTACAAATAGGTATCACGGATGTAAAATGTAAATTGGTGATAGGAAAACTAGCAACGTATCCTTCGAAAATATTTATTACATGTGACATCAATATGCTCATGCATTGACATTCTTGAATCAAGAAATGCTAGGTCATGGACCACCGATACTCCCCTCGATTACAAAATACTATGCGAGAATTATGGGATTTAATTTTCCGCGTAACTTTTACTATACACTGACACTTATTGAAACTATGATGTTGTTAGCGGTGTAGTATAGTATAAGTGTACTATAACGTATTCAGGTTTCTTGAATTAAATTTGACCTTTGATTGCAAGTACATGAATATTAATAATTGCGTAAACAGTTAACTCGCTCATAATTGAACATAAGTAAACATATTTTGTGGGGTACTAGATATTCTTACACCGCTACTACACGGTAAATCTTGCATATCATACCATGGGTGTCGTAAGAGATGGACTAATGGACTTGTACCGACTGCTGTGTTTGGGAACATGTGCGATACTTCAGTGCATACCGTTCGTTGAGTTCTGCATGGTGAAGAATTGCGCCATAAGAAGCTAGCGATAAGCTAATAGAGTTTCTTAAACCAAACCGATTTTGTATGCAAGGGAATATTTAGATTTCGATTCATGGCTATATTCATCAATGAGAAGTCGTTTATGTCATCTCAAAATTGTTCACTTAGCGCGCAAAAATAGAACACTTAATGCAGAACAAAATGTTCTCCCAAATGATTGCATATTAGTGGATACTTGGCCATCTATTTTACTACTGGACCAGAACAATTATAGTCATAACAGGGCGCGCTACATTATGAGAAAGTGTAAGAAAAGTGCATGCTAACAACTGCAGTGTTTAAATCCAGCTGATGATATCCACAAATACACTTAATAAAGAAAAGTTGTAATCACATTTGTGTATAATAACTTTTCTGTGCATCGTGCTCACATAGTGCGCGATTGGTCTTTATGAAAACGCAGACACACAGTTCCCTAGCCCACAAGATCACAGGTTATAAACCACAGTAAATATTATAGGCTTGAAAGTGCAAAGGTGGGGTATGTTAAAAGAGATTACTGTGAAGGCATTAGAAGCTCATTGCATGGAAGTGTAAGTTAATATTAAACTAACGGAACGGTCATTTGTTTTAATATAGCCGGCTCCTAGGGTGGCGCTTGCTTGATGTTATTGAAAATAAGGTGGGGTTCATTTTAACTGCTTAATAACATTAAATTTAAATTGTAATGATTAAGGTATATTACGCAGAACATAACATGATATTTTTTTACTAAATACAATTTAGGATAACCAAGAATATAAAGCAACGCCGCCGAATGGTAGTGATAGTATAATTTTTTATAGATAGTATTTTTAAGGAAACCTTAATTTTTTTATTCACGGAAACGAACACTTGAGCTATAAACTTATAAAAATATATAAAAGTCATAACGGGATGACACATTTATATCAAATAATGATAAAATGTTTCCAAAGTATATTGTTTATAACATTTAGGATAGATTTTTAAATCGTTAGATAAAAGTTATCTATGAAATAATTTATTGACTGAATATAAAAGAAAAGCAATTAAACATTTTATACATAAATCTACTATTTTTAATTTGTTTATTTTAACCTACATTTATTTTAATCGGCTCTTAAAGAAATAATTTAATTACCCAATGCATGTCTTGTTTTATTTCCAAATGTCTTTGTATATTATTTACCTTTACCAAGCAATTAATGATTAAGAAAATCTAGAAAAATATATATTACTTGAAACATAAAAACACCCTGTTTTAGTGTTGACAAAATATCTCAATTACTATGACGTAAAAATTGATGTTAAATCCATAAAAAAATAAAATGTAGAAAAGGAATTGCCCTCTACATTTCACCTCCAAACAAAATAAGACTTTGATAAGTATACTGTGCTTCAAGAATTGGTATCCCGAGCTGGATGGTTCGGAGCTGAAAGAAAGCCGTTTTTATTGTTTCCTATATTTTATTCTTGAGAGTTTAAGTATCATGTTAACCTAATTTTAGATATATACTGTCGACGATTAGAATAAACCCCTTTATGTAGAAACTCAAATAAAAATGTTTAAATCAATGTATGCTACGTGCGAGAATGCTTATGGGATGTCATGAAAATTTCGAATAAACACAAGCGCGAAATTATCTGAAAACTGTTGATAGCAAAATATCAAATCGAATAAACAATCAAATATTGATTTCTATATTTTAGATACATTTTATTACATACGTAACATAAAGAAACTATTTCTCATGGTAAGTACTAGAAGCGTAAGCACAATGTTATAATCACTCACTCTATTATTTCCATACTCTATATGACACTTTAGTGATAAGAAAATTGGAGCGATGAGCTACGCTAGGCGGATTGCAGCAACTAGTTGCGTAAAGCTGAAGAAATCGCTCAGTGGCGTGCCTTGGGAACCAATATCTAGCAATGATCAGGAACGGACAGGAATAGAATGATGATGTTTATGATGCAACATTTCATGATACAAAATTGAAAAAGAAGGCTAGGATGCAACAAACTCACAACTAGACCTGAACACCAACATTTTGTATTTTATCACAAATTAGAAAGCAGAAACAATAACTCGGGAGGTATTCCATAACATTGGAATACACGATCGTAAACCAGTTACCAGTTGCCGAATATTTTTGAGACGATACAAATCTAATTTTCCTTCTTTTCCACAAACAGTTTTGGTAATATACAAAATTTATTTTATTCTATCTCCTAAATAAATGTGCATCTTAAATGTACGCTTTCCATGATATTATCTAAGCACTTTTATTTTCATAATGTAAACATTTTATCACAATTCCTAATGGCTTGTCATTATATTATACGTGAGGTGGTTCAAGAGAATAACTTATACATAGGAATAATATTTCCAGACAAAATTATGGCACTATGGATTTTATTAAGGTCCTAAGTGTAAATCCCAAGCAACATGCAAGCTGTATACGAGCTGTATTGATGTTCGTTTTTAAACTAGA